GTTGGGGACATGCTGGAGGCAGCCAATCAATGATTCTCATATTTTATTGTATTTTATTATTTTATTTTATTTTTATAAGGAGGTCAGCTATAGTAGGACAGAGCATGCTGTGGGGAGTGCTCAGAATAGAGTTTTGAAATGTATGATAGGGTTAGATACTGAAGTATTTTGTAAGCCAGTCCATGGTCTCTCTCATCATTGATGTTTCTATCTCTCTCTCCCTCTCCATTCCTCTCTGAAATCAATAAAAATACACTGGGGAAAAAGTCTTTGTCTGATTTTGATATCAGGGTAATATTTGCCTCGTAAAATGAGGTAGGGAGGGTTCCCTTTTCTTCAATTTTGTGAAGCAGTTTGAGGAGAATAGGTATTAAATCTTCTTTGAATGTTTGGTAAAATTCACTTGTATGCCATTATTTGCAGATGACATACTACATAGAAAACCATAAAGAATCCACTAAAAAACCTATAAGAACTAATAAATGATTCAATAAAGTAGCATAGTACAAAATTTAAAAATTGGTGTATTTTTGTACACCAATAATGAACTACTGAAAGAGAAATTAAGAAAATAAACCAATTTACAATTGCATGAAAAAGAATAAAATACCTAGGAGTAAATTTAACCAAGGAGGTAAAAGATCTATATTTGGAAAATTGTAAGGCACTAGAAGAAATTGAAGAAAATACAAATAAATAGAAGGATATATGGTGCTCATAATAGGAATATTACATATTGTTAAAATGTCCATACTACCCAAAACAATTTACATATTCAATGCAATCCTGATCAAAATACCAATAGCATTTTTTACAGAACTAGAACAAATAATCTTAAAGTTTATTTGGAACCAGAAAAGACCACAAATATCCAAAGCTATCTTGAAAAAAAAAAACAAAAAACCAAAGTTGGAAGTATCACACTACCTGATATCAAACTATACTACAAGGCTAATAGAATAATCAAAATAACATGGTACTGACATAAAAACAGACACAAAAATCAAGGGAACAGAACAGAGAACCCAGAAATGAACCCATGCCTATATGGTCAATTAATCTGTGACAAAGGAGGAAAGAATATACAATGGGGAAAGACAGTCTCTTCAATAAATGGTACAGGGAAAACTTGATAGATACATGCAAAAGAATGAAGCTGGACCACTTTCATATACCATCTACAAGATGGATTAAGCAGTGGTTCTCAACCTTCCTAATGCCATGACCCTTTAATACAGTTCCTCATGCTGTGGTGACCCCAATTTCATTGTTACAAATTGAAAATAATTAAAGCATAGTGATTAATCACAAAAACAATATGTAATTATATATGTGTTTTCCGATAGTCTTAGGTGACCCCTGTGAAAGGGTCGTGCGACCCCTGTGAAAGGGTCGTTCGGCCCCAAAGGGGTCTCGACCCACAGGTTGAGAACCGCTGGATTAAAGACTTAAATGTAAATCCACAAATAACTATAAACTCGCAGTAAACTCTTCAACATTGCTCTTAGTGATATTGCTTTGGATATGTCCCCTCAGGCAAGGAGAACAAAAGAAAAAATAAACAAATAGGACTACATCAAACTAAGCAGGTTCTGCAGTGAAGGGAACCATCAACAAAATGAAAAGACAATCTACTGAATGGAAGAAGATATTTGCCAATGATACATCCAATAAGGGGCTAATATCCAAAATACATATGGATATTATGTACAATATATATACAAATACAACTTCACACACACACACACACACACACACACACACACACACACACAGATCTGATTAATAAATGGACAGAGGACCTGAATAGACATATCTCCAAAGGACAATATAAAATATGCTCAACATCACTAATCATTAGGAAAATGCAATTTAAAACCACAATGAGCTATCACCTCACACTTGTCAGAATGGCTATCATTAATAAATCCACAAATAACAAGTGTTGGGGAGGATGTGGAGGAAAGGGAACCTTTGTGCATTGCTAGTGTGATTGTAAATTGGTGCAGCCACTATGGAAAACAGTATGAAGGTTCCTCAAGAAATTAAAAAAATAGAACTATCACATAACCCAGCAATTTCACTTCTAGGTAGTTAGCTGAAAAAATCCAAAACACTAATTCAAAAAGCTATATATACCCCTATGTTTGTTGAAGCATTATTTACAACAAAATAAGGAAGCAACCTAAGTGTCCATAAACAGCGAAATGAATAAAGATGTGGCACATATATACAATGGAATATTACTTAGCCATAAAAAAGAATGAAATGCTGCCATTTGCAACAACATGGTTGGACCTAGAGGGTATTATGTTAAGTGAAATAAGTCAGACAGAGAAAGACAAATATCAGATAATTTCATTTACATGTGAAATCTAAAAAATAAACAAGCAAAACAAAACAGAAACAAGCTCATAGATATAGAGAACAAATTGATGGTTGCTAGCCCTAGCCAGTGTGGGTCAGTGGGTTGGGCGTCGTCCTGTGCACCAGAAGGCTGCTGGTTCAATTCCTGGTTAGGGCACATGCCCGGGGTTGCTGGCTCGATCCATGGCAGGCGGGGTGTGCAGGAGGCAGCCTACCGATGTATCACTCTCACATCTATGTTTCTCTCTCCCTCTCTCTTCTCTCTCTAAAAATGAATTTAAAAATCTTGGAAAAAAAATTGATGGTTGCTAGATGTGAGGAAAGTTGGAGAAATGGGTGAAAAAAGGGCAGGGATTAAGATGTGCAAATTGCCAGTTACAAAAACAGTCACAGAGATAGGTTTATCAAATGAGATAAATCAGTGGAGAGATGCAAACAAGACATCACAGATTAAGCAAAGTCCTAAAGGGGATGGATAACAAAAAAAACAAATGGTGATATTTCTAAAACTATGAATAAGCGAAGCTACAAATAACTGGTGTGAAGGTAATTTGAGAGTTTATATTTGAGGGATCCTATTTTTCACTGATAGAAAAGGTCTGCAGCTGAATATGAGAGGGTGGGATTGTAAATTGGTGCAGCCACTATGGTAAACAGTATGGTGCTGCTTCTTTTCTTTTTAAATATATTTTATTGATTTTTTTACAGAGAGGAAGGGAGAGGGATAGAGAGTTAGAAACATCGATGACAGAGAAACATCGATCAGCTGCCTTCTGCACACCCCCTACTGGGGATGTGCCCGCAACCAAGATACATGCCCTTGACCGGAATCGAACCTGGGACCCTTGAGTCCGCAGGCCGATGCCCTATCCACTGAGCCAAACCGGTTAGGGTGATGGTGCTGCTTCTTGAGGAGATCCAGTAACACTAACATTGGTTTGAATTTCTAAGTTCATTTCAAGTGATAGTGGGGAAATACAATTCAGGAGCAAAATGAATCCCAGGAGAAGCCAATCTGAGATAAAATTGGGAAAACTGCTGACAAGAATGCGGAAAGAAAGCAAAGAATAGCCCAGCCGGCACTGACCTATGAACCAGGAGGTCAGAGTTTGATTTCCCCATCAGGCAACATGCCTGGGTTGTGCACTCAATCCCATGTGGGGCGTGCAGGAAGCAGCCAATCAATGATTCTCTCTCATCACTAATGTTTCTATCTCTTTCTCCCTCTCCCTTCCTCTCTGAAATCAATAAAAATATATTTAAAAAAAGAAAAGAAAGCGAAGAATAAAAAGCGTATCAAGTAGAATTGAGCAGTGTGAGAATAGAAATAAGCTTTAGCCATGGCTGATATGTTTCTCTCAGCGGATAGATGTTTCTCTCTCTCCTTCCTTCCTCTCTCTCTAAAATCAATAAAAACATATAAAAAGCCCTGACCAGTTTGGCTCAGTGGACAGAGCGTCAGCCTGTGGACTGAAGGGTCCCGGGTTCGATTCGGGTCAAGGGCATATGCCTGGGTTGCAGGCTTGGTCCCCAAGAGGGGGCCTGCAGGAGGCAGCAGATCAATGATTCTCTCTCATCATTGATGTTTCTATCTCTCTCTCCTTCTCCCTTCCTCTCTGAAATCAATAAAAATATATTTTTTAAAAAACACATTAAAAAAAAGAGCAAAAGATTAAAAAAAGAAATAAGCTTTCGTGGAGCCAATATGTGTGATTATACGATATTCTCAGCTAGATTGTTCAGGCCAGAGTTTATAAACTGTGAAGACAAATGATTGGGCTGTTTTGGGTTTGAAGGTTGTTGTGAAGATCATAACAATGATCATAAAATCCCACTGAGTAAGGAAGGCAGTGATACCAAAAAATGGATATTTCGAAGGAAGAACTGCATTTAATGACTAAATCGATATGGAATCTGATGAAGAAAAACAAAGAAACAAGATTCCTGATTATCTGTAAAAATGACAGACTAATGATCAAAACAGAGTTCTTGGAGAGAGAATAGGCTATAGAGATGATTACTCAAAAATTTATTGTAAGATTTAGATTGAAAAAGCTTTTTAGAACAATCCTGTCATTTTTAAAAGGAACAGTAATAAAGTAAGTCCCAGAGAAGTTAGGTGACTTTGCTGAAGTCTTAAGACACTAAACAGAGGCTAGAAATGACGTTAAACTCCACGCTGTTCTAGTACACCACAGAACCTCACTAATATCTGGAGCTTGACATGTTGGCAGGAAATATAAATGGTGCTGCTTCTTGAGGACATTCAGTAACACAAAAATTGGTTTGAATTTCTAAGTTCATTTCAGGTGATAGTGGGGAAATATGATTCAAGAACAAAGTGAATCCCAGGAGAAGCCAATCTGAGATACAATATTTGCTCTGGTAACCCACATAGAGAGAATCAAGAGTTGGATGTAGAATGATATAAGCACTTCAAATATTCTAATGCAAGCACACCGTATGCTTAAAAATCCTTTCAATTTTATTTGGTAATACAGACAGGACATATAAATTATTATGGCTTTAAACATTAAGAAGAGCTTTGCTTACTTAAGGTTCTTTTTATTTTACACATATGAAATACTGAAATCTAATTAAGTCTCTTTTAAGGGACTAGATATTTGCCTTACCTTTACTACCTTGTAGTCACACAAGTATTCCACCTCATAATTGTTTAGATTCCTTTTGGTGATTCCAATCGATTTACATGTGAGCTTTTCTTTTCTACATACTTCCTGAAGAGTATCAAGTGAAACTAGGCAAGGCACACACCAAGCTACAATAAGAAAATAGAACTCTTTACTAATGAAATAGCTACTGAATTAAAACAAAAAAGGAAAAGGAAAAACTTAAGATTTCTATATCCCCACCCTTCTACTGGCAATTTTACAGGACTAAAAATTCATATGACAAGAAACCATTTTTGTGTCTTCAAGACAAAGGTAAGCATTAAAGAACTATTTTGGTAAATTGGTCTTCTTGGACTTTTTCATGTCCTACTATGTTTAACTGATGCCAATTAATTTCTACTGAGCCACCTGAACAAAATATTTCATGTCCGTAAGCTTTCTTAAGATTACATATAGATGCAAAGGTCAAAAGGGGTAATGTTTTTTACTTTTCCATTATAGTCTACATAGAATATAACTACTGCTTTAATAAAATGTAAATGGCTAGGGCATTCTTACTGTTAGAAATATATCCTAAAATAATCTTATAATTTGTTAAAATTTTAAAAAGTAACTTTTCCCCCTTTCTCTTAGTTGGATAAGAAGTGAAATCTAACTGAAATATAGTTCTATGTGACATGATCATACATCATATGCCCTTTTTCCAGTTTGCAATGTTGCATGAAATTTTAACTCCACTTATTTTGCCCATGCTTTAAAGTTATTATTAAGGGAAATAAACCCCAGTTATAATAACATAATGGAAGGTATACTGATTTTTGTCATACTCATTTCCTGCATTGTTTTTTAAAGCCAAGAATTACAAAACAGAGTATTCAATTTACATCACCCATACACCAAGCTTGAAGAAAATCAGACACCACTCAATCAATCTTACAGCAGCCAATACCTAATTGTGCTGCAGCAGATTTTACCCTAAAATTTCTGCTCCCATATTGCTAGTAAAATATGCTAACACAAACTGATGTTTAGACATCTGCGATAAACTTGGTTTCATGGCTAGTGGTTTGGTAAGCACTAGAGAAGATCAAAGGTCCTCTGCTCCAGCCTTTGCTAGGCTCCTTAGTGTATGACTTTAGCGAGATTTTCACTGTTCTGGGTTTCAGATGCACTGGGTTGGAGTAAACTGGGGTTACGAAACAACATCTATAAGTAAACTCAAGCTCTACTCGGTAGCTCTCCAAGGTAGCTGTGACAACTTTTGTGTTTTGAGGTCATTTAGCAAGACCACAGCCGATCTTGCTTTATCCAGTTTTCACCCTCCACTCACACAGGGATTCACGGTAAGAAACCCCGAAGCAGGATTTCTATCTCCACCCTACTGTCCCACAGAGGGCTCATAATGTTACATCAAGAAAGTGAAAGATATTGTGTGTGTGAGTGTGTGTGTGTGTGTGTGTGAGTGTGTGTGTGTGTAAGAGAAAGATACTTAAAAAAATGGGGGGGGGGGGAGAAGAGGTCGCTTGCTTTGGGGTGGTGTTGGGGTAGAAGAGTAGCAGAAGAGAAAAGAACCCTTAAATCCTTTCCTTTAATTAAAAAAACCTTCAGGCTGTTTTGTGTAAAGTTAACCTCATTATGCTGACCACATGCAAAAGAGGTATCCTAGAGTGTAGGATATCTACCCCAGGTGACTTGTCTGCTGTTTTTATCTAGTTGAAGTAACAAGATTCACGACACAACCTTCGATGGAAATGCTATTGAGTTAAAAAACAAACAAACAAAAAATCACAAACAAAAAAAAAAGGAGCATAAACACTCTTGGTAACAATTTTGATTAACGTAGGAAAAAAATTCATGTGCAAGATTAAACATTTCATTACCACCACACACAAAAAAAACCAAAAACAAAAACAGCTCAGTAGCTCACAGTAATCTCTATGGAAGAAAAATTGGCGGATCGAGATTTCATAATGTACGCGGAGAGGAACAGTCCTGGAAAACGCCTTTAGATTCTAGAATGCAACCAAAGTTCCAGTCTTTCAAGCGCGCACAAGAACACACACACGGTCGGCACCTAGCGCCCCGGCGCCCACGCCAACCTCTCCAGCCCGGTGGGCACGAAGGGAGCCCGGCGGCGGGGCCCGCCCCCGGCGCCCACTTACGGGGTCCCTCCGACGAGGCGCGTGCCCTCCCGGGGAGGCCGAGCTGGGATGTGCCCTCGCTCAGCCCCTTCCTTAGCGGCCATACTCCGGCCGATTCCTTTCTTTCCTCGGACACTGAGGTCACACTTACACCCCGGGTTCCCCACTCCCCCGTGAAAAGTCAGCCCGAACACTACACGTCCCGCTCAAACCACCACAAAGAAGCCAAGCCGCACGCGCGGCCACGGAACCCGAGCCCCTGGGAACTAGCGGGAGCTGCGGCGGCCGCCCGAATACCTCCACACGGCCACGGGCGGGAGGGGCCGGCCGGCGGCGGGCGCGCAGGCCGGGGCGGCGGGGGAGGCTCCGGGGAGCGAGCTGGCCGAGGCGCGAGAAGGGTCAGGGGCAGGGCCAGGGGCAGGGGCAGGGTGAAGCCCAGGTGTCGGCACGGCAGGAGGCGGCGCCGCACGGGACCGGGCCCGCGCGTCCCGCACGCTTCCCGGCGCGGGGGTTGGCCAGCAGAAGGGGGCATATGAGGGGCGCCGCTCTCTAGCCCTCACCTCCTCGCGCCTCGGCCCCGGCCGCCGCCATCTTGAGGAGCTTTCATTCAAACTGGCGCGGTCGGACGGGAGAGCGCCACTGGCCGGCACCCGCCCCCGCCCGCCTCGCGCGGTAGTTGGGGGCCGGGCTGAGGGGCTGGAACCCGTGAGGCGTGCTGACGTCAACGGAGGCCGACCCCGGCCGCAGGGGCGACCGCGCCTGCGCCCCAGACCGCCGGCCTGAGCGCGGGTGGGCGCCAGGGCCGCAGAGGGGCGGGCCCGCTGGGCGGGGCGAACCCCGCGGGCGGAGCGGGCGGGGCTGCCCTGGGTTGACAGCCGTCCGCCCCTGCTCGGCTGTCCATCGCCTGGTCAAGGAGCACGTCTGTCAGGCCTTCCACTCGTCTCATTTACTGTTACGTCGGCACTACCTGTGCACTGTGCAGAAATAAAAACAAACGGAACTGTTTAGTACGTTCCCTTCCCATGCCCGTTGCTCAGCTACCTGAGCCCACTGGCTGTCAGTTTCTTCCCGTGTTACTCAGATCACAGGCTGCCAGATTGGCTGGACCTCGGGATCCCTTTTGGAGGGGTTTTGCTTTCTGGTCCCACTCGCAGTGATTGACTTAATCGACATGGGATGTGACCTGGACACTGGAAAAATTACAGCTCCCCAGGCTATTCTAGTGTGCAGCGGTTTGAAACAACCGTCTAGATCAGTGATTGTCACACTTGAATGCGCATAAGAATCGTCTGGGGATCTTATCAAATGGGAGATGGGGCTGGGGATCTGAGGCTCTGCGTTTTTGATGAGTTCCCATAGTGTGCCTGGTGATGCGTCTGGGTTGGGACCACACCTTTGTAGCAAAGCTGCACTGACACCGAAAATAATTTTATGGTTGGGGGTCACCACAACATGAGGAACTGTATTAAAGGGTCGCGGCATTAGGAAGGTGGAGAACCACTGTTCTAAGGGGTCTCTACCCCTCCCCACCACATGCCTCCTGCACGCCCCACACTGGATCAAGCCCACAACCCGGGCATGTGCCCTGACTGGGAATCAAACCGATGCTCAACCACCAAACTGCGCCCGCCAGGCCCCACATCCCCACATGCATTCTTCACACCGCAGCCATGGTAATTGTTCTAAACCAGCATTTTTCAACCTTTTTTTTTTTTTTTAAATCTCAAGACACACATACTAATTACTAAAATCTGACTAAAAATAGGTATAATTTTGATTCACACTGGAGGGCTATTGTGTTGGCTGTTGTCATTTAAAAATATATTGTTATTGACTTCAGAGAGAAAGAGAGAGGGAAAGAGAGACAGAAACATCAACGATGGGAATCACTGATGAGCTGCCTCCTGGCCGCCCCCCACTGGGGATGAGCCCGCAACCCGAGCATGTGCCCTTGACCGGAATTGAACCCCGGACCCTTCAGTCCACAGGCTCTATCCATTGAGCCAAATCGGCTAGGGCTCTCATTTTTTAATTTGACAATCTAAGGGAAAATGGGTCAGTATGAAGTAGAAATCTTAGAAAAGTAAACCTCAAAAACCTTGGTAGAAAGCAGTTTGTCATCTACCAAGAATTTTAAAAATACATTTATGTAAAAAGTTACAAAAATATTTTAAAGCATCTGCATAAATTTTAAAATATTTTAAATAAACACAGGACATTAAAGGGATTAATGTTCATTTCTGTTTTGAAATAGTGTCTAGTCATTTAAAAAATTTTAGGAAGCTTTTAGTATCATGGGGCTTAATATGTTAAGCAAAACAAACAAGAAAAACCTGTAAAATATACAGTTTTAAGTACGTAAGAAAAACTGTATAGGAAAATAAATGTGCTAGTAAATTATCTGGGGAGAATTTTTGTCATTTTTTAATTTGACAAGCTAAGGGAAAAGAGGTCAGTGCTCCTGACTAAATAGTCAGGTATTGTATGTTTTATTTTTTCTGAAAATCCAGTTTATTTCCAGGTTGTGGACAGATCCAGTCAGTGTGATCAGTTTTTCTGCTCATGTAATAATTTATCAAAATAAATTTTCCCACAACAACTCTTTTTCATCATCTCTGAAAATCCTGGTCTGACAACATACCCAAATAAAGCTCTTGAAAACCTCTTAAAATTTGGAAGAAAGTGTGGCAAGTCTTTCCTGCAATAGTTATGGAAGTACACATGGCTAAAGAGCAATTTAAGTTTTAAAAAGTGACTAGTACAACAGTTGAGCTCATAAAATTAATGTTTTAGTGCACTTTGCTCCAGTTTTAGCCAACATGCTACATTGTCTTTTTTGGGAGTGGGGATGCACAAAGTGGACTTGAGGATTTCCATTGTATGAAGAGATAGGACTCTGTAAGCAAAATAGTGTAAGCTGCTTTTTTCTTAAGAGCCGAACATTTTAAAACAGAAGCTTTGCAAAACATTACACAATTTTTTATTATTAAATGAGACCATGTCATCTGTTACATTGTCACATTGTTAATCAGAGAAATGCTGCAGTGATGAAGAGAATCAATGTTGGGTCCACCAAAGTCTCCATTTCTACAACATCCATGTACAAAGAAAGAATGTTCAACACAGCCTAACACAATATTCTTGGTTTTCTTCATATAGAAGACCCCCCCCCCCCGCCAAATCTTCTGATGGGGCATTTTACTACATAAATAGTTCTTCATTTTATACTCCACCCCGACTACATGAGTACATGCCATACTAAACCTTTCAGGCTGCCAGGACCCTTACACGTCCTCGTCGTTGTCCTTGGACGTGTGGCTGCTGCTGCTGCTGCTCGTCTCCGTGTCATTATTCTCAACCATGGGGTGGAAAGTGCTGTTTTTCCAGGGTTCAACCTTGAAGTCACAAATCAGGCCACTTTTCAAAATACCATTTTTCCTCAGATCATTCTTCTGCAACTGTTCTCTAATAACTTAGAATTCTCTCATTTCATTCTCAGTCAAGGGAGCACAGATTTCATTATTTTCACTGTTTTCTTGCCAGCTCATCTCCTTGAACAATCTGTGTTCTGCCTCAAGTGAACTTGAAAGAACATCTGTTTGTGGGAAGGTTGAAGACCAAATGATCTGTTGGGAAATAACCAAAGCATTGCCATTCTCTTGTGGAATTTCATTTTCATCAAAGCTTCGGTTTAAATCTCTGTCTTGGTATTATTGCTGTTATGCAGTTAAATGAGTCATCATCCTTCTTGAAGCCAGCATGGCTTTCATCTTTAGTCTTCTTCCACTCTGTCCCTTTTCTTTTATTTTTTTATTTTTTTATTATTTCTTTAAACCTTTATTGTTCAGATTATTACAGTTGTTCCTCTTTTTTCCCCCTATAGCTCCCCTCCACCCGGTTCCCACCCCACTCTCTGCCCTTATCCCCCTCACTGTCCTCATCCATAGGTGTATGATTTTTGTCCAGTCTCTTCCCGCACCCCCCACACCCCTTTCCCCCCAAGTATTGTCAGTCCACTCCCTTTCTATGCCCCTGATTCTATTATATTCACCAGTTTATTCTGTTCATCAGATTTTTGATTCATTTGATTTTTAGATTCACTTGTTGATAGATATGTATTTGTTGTTCATAATTTTTATCTTTACCCTTTTTCTTCTTCTTCCTCTTCTTAAAGAATACCTTTCAGTATTTCATAATTTCATATAATACTGGTTTGGTGGTGATGAACTCCTTTAGCTTTTTCTTATCTGTGAAGCTCTTTATCTGACCTTCAATTCTGAATGATAGCTTTGCTGGGTCAAGTAATCTTGGTTGTAGGTTCTTGCTATTCATCACTTTGAATATTTCTTGCCACTCCCTTCTGGCCTGCAAAGTTTCTGTTGAGAAATCAGCTGACAGTCGTATGGGTACTCCCTTGTAGGTAACTGACTGTCTTTCTCTTGCTGCTTTTAAGATTCTCTCTTTGTCTTTTGCTCTTAGCATTTTAATTATGATGTGTCTTGGTGTGGTCCTCTTTGGATTCCTTTTGTTTGGGGTTCTCTGCGCTTCCTGAACTTGTAAGTCTATTTCTTTCACCAGGTAGGGGAAGTTTTCTGTCATTATTTCTTCAAGTAGGTTTTCAATATCTTGCTCTCTCTCTTCTTCTGGCACCCCTATAATTCGGATGTTGGTACGCTTGAAGCTGTCCCAGAGGCTCCTTACACTATCTTCACATTTTTGGATTCTTTTTTCTTTTTGCTTTTCTGGTTGGGTGTTTTTTACTTCTTTGTATTTCAAATCTTCGACTTGATTCTTGCGATCCTCTAGTCTGCTGTTGGGAGTCTGTATAATATTCTTGATTTCAGTCAGTGTATGCCTAATTTCTAGTTGGTCCTTTTTCATATCCTCGAGGGTCTCACTAGATTTATTGAGGGTCTCACTAAATTTATCGGTGGTTTCTAGAAAATTCTTGAAAAACCTTATAACCATGGTTTTGAACTCTATATCCAGTAGTTTGCTTTCCTCTATTTCTGTCATTTGTGACCTGTTTCTCTGTCTCTGCATTTTGGCTGCTTCCCTGTGTTGATAGAGTGGCTTTGTGTGCTAGGTGTCCTATAGGGCCCAGTGGCTCAGCCTCCCCAATTACCTGAGGTGGACACTCTTGGTGCACCCTTTTGTGTGCTATGTGCACAGTCTTGTTATAGTTAAGCCTTGATTGTAGTTGGTATCACTGGGAGGAATTTACTTCCAGGCCAATTGGCTGTGAGAATCAGCTGTGACTATGGTGGGAGAACTTCTATGATGGAGACACCCTTATGGGGCAAGACTTGCTTCAGTGGGGCTTTGGTGCTCACTGAGTCTGCCCCCGGAGTGTGTCCCTTATGGATCTGAGGAGTTGTAATCTGGATGGTCCACTCTGACCACTGGGTACACTGGCTCTTGGATCTCTAAGGAGGTGCTAATTTAGCCTCTGCCTGAGGCTACCCAGCAGGAGCTATGGAGAGATCTGCAGATTCCTCTTCTTTGTTTGGGATTTGGAGGTGCCCAGATGAGGCCCAGCTGTGAAGCAATGCAAGCTGCTGTGGGGCCTTGGGCCTTCTTTTGGATGTTCTGGGTCTCTCTGACCCAGCTGCAGTTTGTTAGGTAATTTTAGATT